TAAAACCAGTTGCATTTCACAAAGATGCTTCCAAATGATGCTGTTCTAGACTTATCAAAACAGGATGTTTTAATATTTTTTTCTAAATATAATTTTATAATAAATGTCAATATTACTTTAAAATGTTTTTATTTCAGTGAAAAACCATTTCCCAAAGAGCACTAAAATATTCACCCTGTTTGGAATGTGAACAACATTGCTCCCAGCTCTGTTTACATTGAGCATCAAGACAAGAAAGTTGCCACTCCTACATCCCAAAGGTAATTCATCTGGCTTTCTTTCCTAATTCAAAGGCCATGCCTAGTATCTTCCTTAAACATATCACCCCACTTCGATGCTTCACCAAGTGGCAATTTTTCTTTAAAATTCTAATAAAAGAAATGCAAAATAAAAACTTTATAGTGTTCAGCAAACAGTCTTTGCCTGGACATTAACAGGTCACTGAGCCTTTCCTAAGAAGGACCAGTCAGGTTGTTCTTCTGGTGAACTGGCTCAGGAGTCTCAAAAAGTAAGAAGTGGGAGAGGACACTTGAGAACCCCCAAAGTTTAGGTGAAAAGAGCAGCATCTGTTAGTTGCAGAGGGTTTACAAAATTTTCTACTATTTACACAGTCCACAGCCTCCCGTGGGAAGCAAACAGTCCCCCAAGCTGCCAGACCCCAAAGAGAGTACAGCGAAGGCCAAAGCATTACAAAAACAGCCCTCAAAAATCCGGAGGGGAAATACATATATAGTTACAGAAAACAGCCTGTTTTAAAGCGATGAGATGCATCCCAGTCTTCCTCAGCCGATTCAGCTCTTAAGTCTGCTTGTTCCCCAGCAAAAGGAAGATGACCAAATGTGTCCCTGAGGCCCTTCTCCCCTGCAAGCTACGTGGCACCTACAACCAAGCACAGAAACACCACAGAAAGGGGAAAAGCATGTTCAAAACAAGGGGATAGATTTCTGCACATTCCCACACCAGCGTGGAGAAGCTGCCCCAGGCACACAGAGGGTCTACCACTGCTTTAGCCTCAGAGCTCCAGTAACTAGGTTTGAGCTGTAATGGGTGGTCCTGCCTGTTTCTGAGGATTTAAGCACACCATCAAGACTCACTAGTGCACAGAGACCCTGTGACCTGTGCAACAAATAGGAACCTCTCTGAAAATGTACGTATTACTGCAGCTCTTGGGAAATGGATTTTGGCTTGGCCAAGGACTGTTAACAGTTAGTTAACTGCTTTCAAAAGATGAGTGACCAATAGGAAACGCCTCTGTTTTTTAGTCTGATTGTTATCTCAGGAACTTAATTTACACATGAGGGAAGAGCATAGCCCAGGAGGAAAGGGTTGGGGGCAGAGGGGTTCTAGGTACACTGAAAACCACATTTTTAAACAGCTGCAGTATGTTAATTTTGCAAGTCTCATTCATTTACACATGGAACTAGACTGGCTTATCAGGATGAGCCTTCCCCTCGCCATCACTTTATCTGACTCCTTTATCCAACCATGCGTGGATTCATAACCGTGGCATTAAGTTCTGAACAAACACTGTCATCAATGTATAATACCAAAGCAAATCAACCCGGCTGCAATCCCAGCATTGGATAGGAGAAGCTGAGATGGGAAGGAGCCTTTGAACAAGTTTCATTCAAAATTCTTCATTTAATCTAGAAGCTGCAAGGGAATTAATAGATATTCTCATGCGACAACTCCAGTTCAGGTCACTACTGAGAATCCATTTCTGTTGCAGACCCACGTTTTTCCCCAGCCCACACAAACCTGAACCTATTCCTCTCATGAATGGGACTTCCTTCCCAACATGCTTACGTTCAAAGGTTGAACAAAATTAATATCTGTAGGTCTGGAACTGTTTTCATTTGTTTCCAGTTCGATGTTGGGTCCCTCAATATATGTCATACTAGGAGGCTTCTGCTCTGTGTTTGGACCATGATGTCCGCATCTTCGGTCCCCCTCCAGACTGGCCAGGTCAGGTCTGCAGCACAGGGCAAGAGTACAAATCTGGAATTAGGGACCTAAATTTCACTGTGTCCTTTTATGGATTAGGCCCTTTGTGTATGCACAGCTTGAAGAAGAAATGTACTATATAAATGCAAACTATTATCAACTACCATGGCACATGGAAGCATTAAGCTGTTGTAGACTTTATACTTAAAAATTCAAGCCCTGTCTCTACGAATCCTCAGCATTCGTTTTGCAGTTGTGTGTCTGCCTCTTGGGAGTATTGGTCCAAGATCTCTCTGCTATGGTTTTGCTTGGTATTTTAATTGATGTATTTAGTTTTTAATAATAAGCCATTGCAATTCAAATGTGTGGGCATGTATCTGCCTCTCCCCCTTGTTAGAGGGACTTAAGAAATATTTATAGAGCGTTACTTTCTAGAGGGTACAGTCCGGCTGCAGCATGGGATATTTTGATAAACACTTGAAGTCAATCGAACAAATGAGCAAGAAAGCTGAGAAGTGCCATGTTCAGAGAGGAAGGGCTGAAGCAAGTTGCTGAGGACTGAGCAGGCAAGATTCCAGGAGTTTCTGAGGTTCTCGACTGAAATCCTACTTTGTTCTACTTTTCTGCTGGCTGCAAGAGAACCATATCTTTCTCTCTAAGGGAAGCACTAAGGGGATTTATCCACTACCATTAGATACCTAAAACATACCAAGTGTCCATCAGTGGCTGAAGCTCTGAGACCAGGGTGCTGCAGTTCAGTTTTGTACAAAAGGCATTTTAGTTCTCATTGCATATCTGCTGCACTGACGTAGGCTTTTTCTGCATATCCTCATGTTTCAGCAATGCACATCCTGAAAGGCCAGGTCATCCGAATACAAGACACTGCAGGTGTCTGTTGCTAAATGAATCCTTTCTTTGTACATAAAGCATTCATATTAATTGTAACGAGCCAAAAAGAAACAACAACAACAACCCTGGACAGCAATGGCTGGGGGGCCCAAGGCTCTAGCAGGTGAGTCCACTGCAATAATTACAAACATAATTTCCTCTCTATTGGAAACTATTTGTACTTTTGAATCTGAACTTAGATTCCTAACAAAGAGCCAAGTTCTGGGAAGGAATATGGAGTTCTTAGAAACAGGAGGCAGATGCCTCCTGATCAAGAGAGAATAAAATTCAAGTGAGCAATACGCAGAGGGACAAAGTAACTTTTGTGCAGAAATTCACCCCTAATTTGATGGTAGATTTGACACTTCATTAGCACATAACCCTCTGTAGGGCCTCTGCATACGAAATCATCAGTTTTGAGATTTTATAAGTACCAATGCTGGACAGTATTCCGCCCGGCACCAACACCTGAAGCCAACCATTTCAGAGGATTCTCAAATATATAACGTTACTTATTATGAATTATAGTATGATAATGTTACTCATAAATTGCATGTACATTTGTACACATAAAATTGATTTATTTCTTTTTTTCCAGAGACGCCTTCTGTGGGTAACATCATCAGCTGAGTCAGGTAGAGCAGAACCCCTGGATGGGGGCAGAGCACCTTCCAGTCACTGCTTCTCATTGCCAGCTTGCTCCCTGTATGCTCGGTGTTCTTGGCCCCGCTCGCTTGCTCCTTGTTGTTTGCTGTGAGTGTTTCAAAGGACTCAAGAATCACATTGCAATGAGAAACTGATCATTTTAAAAAAGGATAAAAAATACTGAATGTCTACAGCATACTTTTCAGCTTCTACTGCAGCAGACCCTGAATCTGCTTTGGGGTTATGAGGAATGTCTTTAGCATCTGTTACCAAATCCCCATTATGCAGATGCAAATGTTGTTTTTGTGTTTACTGTTATAAGCACATGCAATGCCTGTCCTGGAACTAATCGGCTGGAACCAGACATGTGCATACTATCGCTTAATGAGTATCTGGTCCTTACAGGGATTTTTGGCAGTTCTATACCCACCACTCCCACTCAGCTAAAGGAAGGGAAACTAGAAAAATAAGCATCATACCTCTGAAATGAACTTCACCATGTGCCTCAGATTTACATTGTGCAAGGAATGCATGAGCTCTGTAACAGCACATGAATGTGGTAAAAAGTGCTTTGATTCCTGTGCTTCACACCACAAGCGCTTCCCTAGACAGGTGGAATCTCTTGCTAGTTCTGTATTTGGCTTTTTCCCTTTCCTATTTCCAGGCATCAGGAACTCTGCTCTTAACTGACCTCATCTCTAATAGTATGTTGTTAGTTTTGACTTTCTTAATATGACTGCAGCATCATATTCAAAATGTGCTCCTTTTGACAGCACAAGCAAATGAGCAGTTAGAGACCAGTGTACTGGAGTAGATTTGGTGCCCTGGAAAAGCCCAAGTGGTCCTGCTGTGTAGCCTCTGACAAGTGAACAGACGAACTAGAGAGAATCCAATTATACTGTCATCATCGTCTCTCAGGACATAATTTCTGTAAATGATTAACAGAGCACAGCACTGGAGAAAGAGTGAAAACCATATGAAAGGGCAGGGGTCACGTAGATTGTCTGGCAAGAAAAAGGAAATGCTAATGCTGGTTTGTCACTTTAAGCCCACCGTAACATACAGGAACATGAAGTGTTTGTAAGAACTACAAAGTCAGCTGTCCGGAGGACTGGACACCAGTGCAGTCGATGCTCTCTCAGAGCACTGGGGCGCAGCAGGCATTGGGAGTTGTGCTGTCAGCTTCAGAAAAGGACACCTGGGCAGAATCTGCCAAGATGAGCGGCTTTGGCCACACGCTCACCACCCGCTACGCTCAAGACCACTGCGCACATCAGGCTGTTAGTCTGTCTGCAAAACCTTGGGTAGGGCACGGTGTTTATTTCAGTCTGAATTCACTAGCAGGTGTTTGGGTAATGCTGTACAGCACTCTCCCTTGATCAGGTAATAAAGCTAAATGATCCGGATCAGTGGTTCTCAACCTATTTGCCATAGTGGGCCACACTTGCAGCCCTCAATGTGTTATGTGGGAGGCACCCACGTAATTTACTTCCTGTGTGTCCGTTTAACAGGATGTGACAGGGGCCGCAGCAGTGTGCTGATTGGGCTGCATGTGGCCCGTGGGCTGAGCACCACTGATCTGGATGTTTTATTACCATGTCAGTGCTGAAAAGGGCAGTACAGGTTTTCAAATACTTGAAAGATCTGCTGACTTAGCGTGAACTTTGCGCTATATACGTGATTGCGTGTCTCAGCAAAAAAGGACATTTCAACGGACACCTTTACAACTGTGACAAGTTCATTTTGTATGTAAAATGCAGTGCTGTGTATATTTTTAAATAAGCAGCACTGCCGTGTTTTCCTTTCCACTTGTTTCTGATGGGCATTGCGCTGCCAGCTGGACTTCCGTTAAAATGGCAGTGTGCTGATTGATGTCTTCTCTGTGACCCGACTGCCTGTTGTTCACAATGTTAGCAAAGTGTTTTGGGGGCTTTTTCTGGGTTTTTGGTATGTAGAAGACTTACTGCTACAGAAGCATGTGATGAGACCAGAGCCAAGCTACATTTTTTTAAAACATGAAATTGAAACAAAATCCGGGACCTCTGGCTTCCCGAATAGCACAGATCGTAGAAGTATCTTCAGCACACATAATCAAAACAGTCAATTTGTTAGCACCTGGAGGCTGAATTGGAGGTAAGCAATAGCTGCATGCATTTCTCAAGGGCAAGCCATGCCTATCTAATCTGATTTCCTCCTGTGAAGTGGAGACACATTTTGTGGATTTTGTGCGGAGAACAGCGATGAAAGAAGAAGAGCAGAAAAAACACACTGGACTTCAGCATACTAAGACTTTACCAAATTCAGAGAACTGGTAGGCAAAAATCTTTGGAAGCCAAATCCAAGGGGAAAAGAAACCCAGGAGAAATGGTTCTTTCTTGAAAAAGAGACAATGTTACAGACACAAGGGCATGCTATCCCCAAGCAAAGACCAGCTAAGCTAAGGTTCTCTATGGCTTGAAATTTAAAAGGAATCTTAAGAAAAGGTGGAAACTGGGCCATGCTACTAAAAATGACTATGTAATTAGCATAAGACCATGTAAGGACAAAACAAAAACAAACAATGCACAATTTAAGAAATCTAGCAAGGGGCATAAAAGTCCACTAAAGCATTCTGTAATTTTATTAGCAGAGGAAGACCAGGGAAGAGCGTTGATCCCTCTTGAATCTGCAGAGAAAACCTGTGTGCCTAATGCCTTTTATTTCTGTCTTCTCAAAAAAGAAGCAGTTGTCAGATGATTAATCTTATTGGCACCAAGGACCAGGGACCAGGTACTCAGTTTAGAGTAGAAGAAAAATCAAAGTGGAGACAGCTGGTATTTCACATCAGGAGGGCTGGAGGATATTCATCCTAGACTACTTAGAAAATTGACCAAAGTAATTGCAGTGCCATTGGCCATTATCTCTGAAAAGTCATGGAGAATGAGTTAGGTCCCAAAAGACAAGCGGGCAGATATAAGAGATAGTGCTCACCTTTAGAAAAATGGGGAAGGGAGGTCCTGGGGAGCTACAGATCAGTCCAACTTGGATTCCTGGGAAGATGCTGGGACACATCATTAAATAATCTATTTTTAAACCCCTAGAGCAGTGGTTTTCACCCTTTTTGGACTTGAGGCACTGCTCACTGGACTCCAGACACCCCTCCATAACTTTTGTGAATTGAATTGAGGTGGCACCCAATTTTGAAAACTTTATTGAAAAATTTGTATGGTGCTTACTGTCTTGAAGAGCGGCTGGGCAGTGCGGTTGGGGGAGCCTCCAGGCTAGGACAAGCCCAACCTTGCACTTACCTGTTTAGTTCATATTAACTCCTCATACCTTGGGACACCTTTCAAAGGATCTGGAAGCATCCCAGGGTGCCCCAACACCCTGGTTGAGAATCAGCTGCCCTAAAGGATAACAAGATATAATTTACAGACTATATGGGATGGCCAATTAAATTTTATTTTCATTAACAACTTACAGACTAACTTCAGTTAGTGTACAAAGTGCTAGTCTATCCTGCTTTCTACTTGTCAAGACCAAGTCATGCCTGCCAAACCTGATTTCCTTCCCTGTTGATGGGGAGAAGCAGTACATGTGACATACCTAAGTGCTGGTACAGTTCTTGATGCTGAGGAAATAGGTCACAATGATATTACTATAATATGAGTGCATAATCGGCTGGGTCATTGTACTCAAAGGGTAATCATTAATAGCTCACAGTCTGACTGGGGAGAGGTGTCAAGTACAATGCCCGGCGTTCTGTTCGGCATCAGTCCGATTCTGTTATTCACGATCAACATAGAGGCCAGAACTAAGAACATTCCCAGATGTAAAGCGATTTTCAGCACGGGAGCGAGTTCAAACTCAGACCCTGATTTCCAGGAGTTGTTGCTGGTGGTGGTGATACAAGACATAAGCACTAGCGTGGGCACTGAAGAGTGCCCGATACATAATCCGCTCGCCACGCTGAGGACTCCGTCCTGTCCCCACTGGAAATAATGAGAACAAGGTCTGCTTCCTACAAAACAGAACCGATTAGCTCTTTGCACCATCCTGTCTAAAAAGATGAGAAGTTCAGATAAATTCTGTCCACATATTGCTCAGCCCCATCCTGTGCCTTTCTGCTGGCCAGTGTCATGTCCTTGTTCCACCTTCCCACCCCACCTCCCTTCGGCGACCTCCACAACCCTGCAGAAGTGGATTACCAAAAAACGTACAGACTCCTATTAAGTGCTTTGTGACAGCAAAGCAGTGAGGCTTAATAAGACACCCTGCCTCTTTACACATGAACTCACTAGGAAAACATTTGGTTAAAACAATCCATTTTCAAGGGGATTCTCAGTCTCAGATATTTTCAGAAGTATTTTAGAGTATTTTAAATACCAAGCATGTTAGAAAACACTGACTACATCCATAGGACGTTACTTGTCAATGAGTAAAAATTAATTTTACTCGGGAAGTAGAAAACTCTGCAGCTCATGGCAGGAAACATTAGTTGCAGGGAGAGGCTTTGCTGATGCTTTCTTTTCATGTAAAGCTGAGGTTTTATTGCCCCAGCATCAGTATACCTATATATCATGATTCTCACTGCAACTCTGTCCCCTTGTGCACACTTGGGGCTTTTCATTATGTAATTAGTCCCTCCCCTCCCAGTTAGGGGAGAAGCTGGAATAAATGAACACAGTTCAGTAATAAACTACAAGTTAACTTTAATGAGCTACCCACTGGTAACAGAAAGAAACAGAAATAAGCTCAGTGTAACATCCCCATTCCTGCCTACAGCTAGTACTAACTCAAAGATTAATTTTAAGAAAAGTTTGGGGCAAAATCCATGCCACTTTCACAGCTTTGATTCAGTGTGCCCACGTTGGCAACTGCACAAAAGGTAACTCCAGTATATACATGCAAATACATAAAATCAGTGATTCTCAACCTTTTTAGACTCAAGGCACCCCTCAGAAAATACCAGTTCCTAGTTTTCACTTATGTTTAACTACAGAAAAATACTGGAGCAATTCTTCCATTGCAAAGAACTGAGAAAGATCACAACAGGTCAGAATATATTTAACACTATGGATTTCTATTTGAAAATTCTGGGTTTATCTTGTGCATCATGTTTGCAAACCTAAGGTGCTAACATCATGTGAGACCCCGCAGCACCCCTGAAAGGGTCTTGGGGCAGTGTCCAGGATGTTGCGGTACCCTGATAGAGAATCACTGACATAAACCTATGCACAGGCAGGATCTGGGCGCATGAACTAGAGTTAGTGCGTATGCAAAACTACACGTCTTTAACCCCAGGCATTTTGAAAAGTTGGTCAGATACTTTTCAGACAAGTGCAAGGTGCTGCACCTGGGGAGGAACAACCGGCACCATACCTACAGGTTAGGGAACTCCCCTCTTGTCAGCACGGAGGCGGAAAAGGATCTTGGAGTCATCACTGACTCCAAGATGAACATGGGCCGGCAGTGTGGGAACGCGGTCAGGAAGGCCAACCGCACCCTGTTGTGCATCCACAAGTGCATCTCGAGCAGGTCCAGGGAGGTGATCCTCCCCCTCTGTGCGGCACTGGTAAGGCCGCAGCTGGAGTACTGCGTCCAGTTCTGGGCGCCGCACTTCAAGTGGGATGTGGACAGCATGGAGAGGGTCCAGAGGAGGCCACTCGCATGATCAGG